CGTCGTCATTCCACACGGACGAAGTCTAGTTATGCCAGCTAGTATTTAATAAAAGTAGTGGTTGCCAAATGATCGAAATTCGATTGTACAATATAATTTAACCTACTAATATTACTTTGATATCATCATAGATACAAACCCCGATTGCAGCTGAAATAGATTGGTTTGTACAAATTCCACTTCTATGTACATATATGAAAATGTCAGAGAAAAAAAAGATATTCTTCGATCTTAGTGTGCGTCGCTCTTGTTGCAGCAGGATATTCCAAACGAGTCAGTTATGTTAGATGCGGCGGACATCTTCTCTATTCCATTTGCAATATCTCCCCTATATTGGCTGAGATTTGATACACCGAGCTGGACTTTTCACCGCCTATAGCCTATTCAAGCGAAGACGAAGACGATTGCGATTTTTGTTCATTCTTTTAGATATTCATAGATTGAATTGAAATTTAATCAAACTGGCGCATAACTCCATTTTTTTCACATTCCACGATAAATTTTATATCGAGCTCAATTAATAATTCTTTTCTATATAATACTTATTCTTACTTATCGAAGAATGGGACATCCTAGAGAAGAGTTCAAATGTGGAATAACATGTACTTACTTGTAATGCCAAGTAGTAAATAAAAAAATTACTACTTGGCACAGAACTATAGCTGGTATAGATAGTAAAGCGCTTGATTACTTCGTGAGACAAGAGTCTTTTCCTTCCACAATTGAAATAAAAGTATTTTATTTCTGTTGATTAAAAAATCACTAATAGAAAACTAAATTATTTGTGATTAATATAAACTGTATTTTATGCAGGCAGCGTCGCGTGATAAAGGTAGTAATTTTTAATTTCAGACATAATTATAAAATAAGTTGAACGTAGTGGCTGGCTCATCTGTTATATTCCTGAACGAGTATTGTATGGACTGGTATGCTACGATGCTTTTATTTAGTTATTATATTATTCTGCTTCTAATGAATTCGTGCTATTTGGTAGTTTGTATTCACACATATTTTAACATAAAAATTAAAACATATGTTTTGAAGAATACCACGCGTGTTTCTTGCTCATAGTTCTTGTGATTTGACAAATTTCCGCTGCTTAAATTTAAGATTATTTGACTACCTAAAGATTTTTTTTTATTCTCTTCTAATAAATTTTATAATTAATAAGTGTGTATTTTGTAATGTATTTTGAACTTGCACCCGATGGCAAGTTCAAAATTGTCAATCTGATATATTATTTTTTGTTTGTTTTCAAATTTTATGTTACGATTTAATAAAATAATTTTATGATTACATGAGTAAACTAGAGAAAATGACAAATTATTAAAGTTGACGCTAAAATTGGTGGACATGAGAAATCAGACACAAACATCTGGGCGCATAACCTTTAATAACCCAGACTCAAACCAAATTACTAAAGTTTGTTTCCTAACTTTGCCCAACTGGCAATCAATCTAGAACCTCATATGCGAAGTAACGCGTCCTACTTTGTAGTATTCGACTGAAACTAGGTATTACAGCTGAAATAGAAACATTATTTCGAGATAGTTTCCTTACAGTTTATAGTTAAATATACTAGATAAACCGTAATAGTTCAGAAGGTTTTTGCTTACAAACCGATAGAAAGAAAACACGATGCAAATAACAGTCAGTTAAATCGTTTCTGAAATTAGCGCAGACAAACATACAGCCAATCAGATAAATAACAAAAAATCTAATTTAACAATCATTGAGTATTATTACACTACTATAACACTATTTCTTGTATATCTTTCAATATACAGACAGCAACAACATTTTTGTCTTAGGTATAAAATACATTATCTACATAACATATACTACTATATAATAACACGCGTTAACCAAAATAAACACATAATACAAAGTTTATATTGTACGGAAATCCAACCCGTAATCAACGGAAAACAAGGCAAAATGCTAAGTCGCTTGACCATTGATGTCGTAAAAAAATAAAACACTATGTGTGTATAACTGGTGCCGCCATCTTGAACCATAACTCACAATATGACATACAATGTTCGTATTGAGGGTGGTCATCTTGTAAGCAAAATATACATTCGGCAACTATCCCACCGGATTGATTTATTGAGATGTACAAACGCGTTTTGTGTGATATATGACTCCGTTGAGATTGGTACAGAGTAAGTAGAGATAGAGGCATCCGTACTAATATTATAATTGACGGCTTCGGTTGTTTAACGGTTTAACACACTGCCTTACTACCGATGATCGCGGGTTCGGTACAAACGATTGTATTCATGAACATGATTGTTTGTATCGGTCTGGGTGTTTACTATGTTAAACAGTTATCTGGCACCTAGAATATAAGCTCTGCTTAGCTTTAGATTAGATATAATGCTGATGGGAAAAATTATAAGTGTGAAAGTGTATCTGTCTATTTGTTATCTCTTTAACCGTTAAGTCGTACTATATTATATCATATAATAAAATATTTATAAGATATACAATTGTAACGTTAAATACTTTTAACTAATTTGCTACTGAATATTAGATTTTATGAGATAACACATATCAAGTAATGTGAACAACTAAATTAACAAATTATGAGATTCTGACTTTCCAATTAAAATACATAATTTTACAAAATAGCAATTACGTTTTTTAATCTGTATCTATTCACAGCTACTCTATATCACACGTGCATGGCACAAAACAAGCTGCATAGTACCATGAATAGTAAAACGCACAGCATTGGGGAAGCATGTTCTGGGAATAAGTAATAATGTTTACAAATAACATAAATTTCTTATTTACAGCTTTATTCGCCAAAGTTTAGAGTTTAAATCTCTTTGACTAGTATGAATAATTGAAATTTAATCAAGTGAAATCATAAACAATTACCTCTTTAGTTAAAAGTCTTATAAACCAATTAGATACTGAACTGTTCTGTCCTTTTTGTACTACCCAAGTTCTTCGTTTGAGAGAGCGCAACAAAACACTGTAAAAATCCATTTGTAGAACTTCTTCATTTCTTAGGCGATTACTCACCTAACTACATTTTAACACAATAATTGTAAAAAAAATTTGAAATTTTGTATTAAACTTCGTAATACATATTAAAACCAAATCCTTTGGAACATAAAATTAATATATAGGTATAAAAACTAATTTCTACTATCATAGTCTATATATTATATACATATGTTAATATATTTTTATAATATAGATAGCAAGTAGAGATATAATTAATAACACATTAAAACTCATATTTACTAAAATGAAACATGTTTATTTATTACTATTATTAGATTCGCGGTAGGTGATAGCAAATTGATAATGAGTTGGTCTTTATATTCATTGCATAATAATAATAGTATATATATAGCTACACAAAAACAAAGTGCGACAAAAACTCCATTTCCATTAGTTTACATTTTACTCAAATATAGGTCAGGTATAAATAGATTTTAATTAGACTTTAACGACTTCATAAGTCGTAAAAAGTGACAGATTTTGAAAATGTAAAACGAGCGTTTGTATATATATACAAATTTTATGTAGGTTTATATTATACTTTTGTAGCTTTAAATCCTGTGAAAGTTATATAGTTTCTAAGTATTCTGAACTGAACAATTAGAGACCGTGAATTGAAAAAGCAAAGCAGGTTTTAATTTAAACTACCAATTACATAGGGATGATAGTGTTTTTTTCATCAATCTATGGACAAGATTGTTAAAACAAAAAACATCTTAATAGCGCCATTTACATTTTAGAACAACGCCATCTAGTTTGCACAAAATAAACTAAAATTACCTATGATAATAAATATCCTAAACATACTCGTATACTGCTGGATATCCTATGCAACCGTAACAAAACTCGGTTTGCAGGTACGAACAATGTTTTAAGTTATTACACGGTAGTGTTCCGTACAGTAACTTACTGCTGTCGTCGACTTTTATGCGGTTCCTTTTCAACAAAACTCTAGTTGCTTTTACTTCTTGATATATTACTTCTTTAGTTTTGCACTAGTTAATGTTATCAGTGTACTTCAACAGTCTTTTAATAGATGAAAATGGAGTATTCTACTATATATAATGTCAATATGTATAATATTGCAGTCAGTCAGGCCAGTTAGAAGCTATCTATAACAATTTTCAAGGGAAACCGTGTGGATGTAAGAATAAGAGTAAAATATATTTCGAAAAACTTAAGTAACACTTTATCTATGACTCCACACTAGGCTATGTCTGTATTGTCATACAAAGTCATAGCACGTTTTGACAGTCGTTAAGTAGCATTGGTACGGCACAATTTTGCATTCATGTAATAGTAATTCTGATAATATATGTAATATACTATTAAATAATATAATACCGAATATAATAAGAAATAAAGTCAACTTGATATTGTTAAAAGCACGCATAAACTTTAATTAGCTAATAAGGAAACTAGTTTCCATCATTTCGAGCCTATATAACGATCCACTGAAGCCCGAAGAATTCCACTATCATCGACATAAAAAAACGTTAACTTTACACACTGAATAAACTGTCATAAAATGTTTAATTAAAAAAAGACTACATTTCCCGGTTGCGCACCAATTAAGCTAAAAATAGACGCAATAAAAACTTTCACGAGCGAATCGATCAGCAGTTGGACGCAAATTGACTGAACCCTCAATGTTGACAATCGTTAAAACTTTATAAATTGTCCCAAACGACGTTTAGAGAAATTCCCTTTAGTTAATTAAAAGTTACCACCCACGACCATAAGTTCGCGAATCCTTAATAGAAATTTGAAGAGACCGCTTACTTGGATGGTTAAGAGTTTCATCACATGATCACAGCAAACCGGAACCAAATCCTTTCTAGACTTTTATTCTTTATTAATTTAGCAACTTTTATACATAATGACAGTCCCACCGTATCTTAATCTCCAAAATAAAATAAAAAAATAAGTTCTTAACAATTTAACAAAAAAATAATAGACAATATAAGAAATGCCATTAAAACCTACTCCTTATCAAATCGTACTCCGAAGCCATATCCTGAATTCAAAATACATTAAGTAATTATTTGCAAGACTTATAGATAAGATTTTTTTTATATAATTGAAATAGAAAGCTTTCTGATAATAAGGGGTGACCGTCGCTTACATACATATATTGGTATATGAAAATGGTCACCGAATAGCACCCTTCATTCGTTGCAATTCCAAAGTAATAAAATATATGCCTCCGAGCTTTGTAATTATACTGCTCTGTCTCACACTTCAACTGAAACGAACCTTACAAAACAAGCTGCTTGGCAGCTAAAATAAGTGAGACCTATGGAGATAAGTTTTTTACAGCATAGGAGAAAAACGAGCTTGAGATGGTAAGTACCACGTACCAGTAAGTACCACCGCTCATGGCCCAACATCAAGGCAATTGCAAGAACGTTGCAGGTCTATTAAGAAGGAATAATATCTTTACCTGAAGTTTTCAATATCATATCGGTTCGGAAATAGCAATGATAGTCCTCCACCATGCGTTTTTACCATGTTGTTTTTGTTGTGTATGGACTCACCATAATGTGGTTAAGCATGGAAAAAAATTCTGGCAAAACGCATGGTGGTGGACCGCCATTCATATAGATGATCACGATTATATTTTAGTATCTGGCGGGTAGAAAACTTCGTAGAAACTCTACCTCTCTAGTATACTTTTACAATTTGTTTCATTCTTTGATGTAAAGTTAGTGTTACTACTATTAACCCCAGTTGCTCTTTCCAAACAACTTTAGATCACAATTCACAGGGAAGTAATGAAAAATGTATCAACCATCTATCATAAACTCTTTTCGACGCGTGCGATATTCCGTTGAACACAAAAACTTACGCAGACGTGAATAATGTCACGCGAAATTAAATCCCATAGGCCTAGGGACTGGGTCCCTAATGCTCGGCAGAATAAGGTTTATTGATTAGACGATTAGGGGAACGTTTTCTCGGAAAGACACAGGTTACCTGATGTTTTATGGGTAGTTTCTCCACTTTGTGGCTCTCTCAGTCGTGTCAGGCTGAATATTGGTATACATTGAACGCGTTGTTTTCTCTTTATTTATTAGGAAGTGTACGAGGTTGTACAAAGATTATGGTTGAAATAAAGATGTATGAAGATAGATTTATTGTGTACAAATATAAAGATAATTTTATGACTATTATTAAGTTGCGCTCGCGCGTCTTTATGAGTAATACTGTCCACGGTCGATCGACTTCCTCCCGCTTCCCCCGCATCCTCGCCTCTGCTAGGGCGTTAACAGGTAGCAATATATATTGATTCTGTTTAAATAAAAATACTTTAGAATCTTACTAATATAATAAAAGCGGAAGTTTGTGAGCGTAGATAGATGTTTGTTACTAATTCACGCAAAAACTACTGAATGGAATTTAAGGAAACATTACAGTGATACAACTTGAATATCAGAATAACATGGGCTATAAATTACATGCGGGTGAAAACGCGGGCACAGCTAGTACATAATAAAAGGACAAATTTTAAAAACTGTAATGTTTGGATCTTGAATTTGTAAAGCATGCCGGCAGCTCGTTAGACAAATTAGAGTATGTGCGCACGAGTAAAATATTAACTGTATACTGTTTCATTACTTAATTTACTTTTATATCAATGATCAGGCATTGTCAACTAACGTTGTTATAGTTAACTCAACACTTAACATCCAATAGTCTAATGGTCTAGCGGTATCGCAAACCACCTTACTTCCTTTGGTCGCGGTTTCGATTTCTGCGTCTTTCGTCTTTATTTATTTATATTGAGCTGGGCGTTTTCAATGCTTGTAACTATAAAAATATTATTTATGTATTTATAAAGTATTTAAGTATGTCTATAAGTCATTTAGTACCCATAACACAAGCACTGCTGAGTTAGGTACTAGACAGCGTTGTATATATTGTCCTGATTACTATTATGTATGTAGATTGGATGTGGGCCCCTACACTAGGAGGGCTATAAAGAACAGATGACGAGCCTTACACCGCGGCTAACTTTTGGTTGGTTCAGACGGTCCACGGCGTTACGATCGGTTATGGTCCCAATAATGATATATGAATGCACACATTTTTATAATATACTAGTGGTCGCCCAGTGGTCGAAATTACGTAGTGGACCTTAATTAAGTTAACATTCAGTAAGACTCTAGACAAATAGTATTAAAGACAAACAATATTAATCTATTCTTAATTTGACCACAGACTTTAACAATAAACAAAAGGAGTGTATATGCTTGCGTTTGTCAAATATATGTTAGTAATTTTTTTTTTATAGTTGACAATGGACTGGTGCACCCGCCTGTGGTAACGGTTTACGCTGGCGGGACACCAGTGGAGGATGATAAGATGAGCATGAGGTCAGGTCAGTTAGCCTATCGTGACAAATTCACCAGCAATTTATCACGATGGTTTCCAGGGGGAACCGCATGGAGATCAACCTGACATGGTACATTGTTAGCAATAAGATCATCAGTCCCATTACTATCAATACCTTTCCCCTCTATGATACATATTAGATTAGTACGAGACGAGACAGTAGGCTCACCCTCTGTCATATTGAATTGATAGACGGCAATGACTGACCACCCTCTTTAGGATAAAGTCCTGATGTTACTACATTAGCAAGACGAAATTCCAAACTCTGTACATTAAATCTGTACATTAAATTCACTTACCTTATCTCTCAGCATGTCTCGAACTCTGGTTGCCTGGTGGCGACTCCTATGCAATTCCAACTGTAGTTCCAGACATCGCTCTTGCCAGTTCACGGAAGCCTCGGCCGTTGCCAATCCGTACTCCAAGGGATCAAACCGCGAGGGGTGAGCAATTGGCCTAATGGAAAAGAAAGGTCAGATTTACATATAAAAGATAACATATTTTATTCTCATATTTCGGATATTTTGAATAGAATAATTCTATTCAAATTGCAATTATTAAAGTTTGCAATTATACCCGTGCAAAACCGGAGCTACTCATTAGTTTAAGATACAAAAAATATCTGTATAGGTGTGACATAAAAAGTTTCTACAATAACTAATCAAACTATATGAAATTTTGTCCATAGAATTAGGCAACAAATATCAACGTTTCACACTAGAAGATTTCCTTTAAACAAGTTTGTTTTAGACTAGTAGTTCCTAACTAAAAACTTGATTTGGATGAAAAACAAAAGAATCTATCTTTAGCTCATGCGTATGTAAAAAACTGTAATTTGAATTTCAGTATTGTAACTAAAAAATAAATTTTGCTGTAAATATTTACGATAAAATTTCGATCGAAAATATTGGTATAGTGCTCGGGTAATGGAAGACGCAAAATCTCTGAATAGAGATGAATGAATACTAAATAATACCTACATCATAATTTTATTGAGCCCACAAATACTCCTCTGAAGATCCATTCAGTCATTTAGTCATGTAAAGGTAAATAATAATAATATCTCAGGACAATTCACACAGCGCCATCTAGTCTTAAGCTAAGCAGAGCTTGTGTTATGGGTACTAGACAACTGATATAAAATACATGCACACATTTTTTTTGTAAATAAATACATATTATACATAGAAAACACCCAGACCGATACAAACAATCATATTCATGAATACAAATGTTTGTACCGTGCGAGGAATTGAACCCACTGCCATCGGATACTAAAGCGGTGTGCTAAACCACTAGACCACCGAGGCTGTCAAAACAGAAGACACACTTTCACATTTACGAGATTAGTATGGATCAGTTTAATATTTGTTATTATATTAAATATATTATTACGGAAGTACTAGTTCAAACCTGTCTACTACGAAACATTTTTATCAACGACACAATAATTATTATAATATAGGATAACAGCTAGGTTATCTGCTACTCGTGTCTTGTCTTCGTGATACTATCAATCTTCACGTCAAATTTCATTCAGATTCGTTTAGCCGTAAGAAATAAACAAATGACAGACACACTTTCGCATTATTATTAGTACGGATTAGTATTCATAGTACATTTTAATAACATTCTAAATTTACATACTTGATAGTTTTAGACTAAAATTTCCAATTTTACTCGAAGTTTTATATTCTGTAATCTCAATAAATGTAATGAATATTTTAATCTCGGCGTCCACAAATACCGTTCAGTCAAACAATCCATCAAAATAAGAGCACCTCAGAGCAAGTCTAAGTTCTGTTATTTTTCTAATTTAGACTCTTAGAGGGAATCCAATATATTTTTTTTATCTTTTTAATGTCTGTCTGTCTGACTAGTTTGGTAAATATATTGGCTTTACGCCGCCTGGTTAGTAGTCCATGTTAGCTTTCTATAAGTATAAGAATTTTAGAAATCCCTAGAGTATTTTTTGATTTACAAACACATGAACGTAGAAAAACTCATTTATTTACTTTACTATATAGTATTACCATATAATTTTTTCCTGTTTACTATATTAATTCAGAGATGTCAAAAAGTCACTAGATGAACTATAACCTTTATTTATTATATTGTTATAGCTGTACTCTTCAAATATATCTATATCTCGAGGCTCCTATAATTTCACTACCTGATCTCACCCTTCAACACACACAAAACAGTCTACAAAGCTTAGCGACTGTAAAAGTACCTTTTAAGTACCCACGCAGACAAATTTTTAGATAGTCTAATCAAATATACAAATTATTTAAAACCCTTCCCCATATCCCATTCTCCAATCATAATAACTGTTTTGTTGGTGAAATCTTTATTCGAAATATATTCCATTCTAAAATATATTCTATATTAAAAAAAATATTATAAAATTGTTAATAACAATACAAATGCCTATTGTGAGGGAAGGACTGTATTTATATTAATTTGGTAAATGTAATTATGGAACACGGTATTTAGGAAGGAATAGTATAATTGTACATAACAAAAGTAAACCAGATAACAGAAGAATAATAATGGCAATACACAATGCTTTTCTATATCAAATAATAGACAATATAAAACATAAATATTATATAAAAAGGTGAGTCGTGGATACATATAAATTATAAAACTATGTAACCAGCACATCAGCAACAATTATTTATAATATGTCGCGCATAAATATTGTTAATATAACAAACGAATAACCTAATAAACTCATTACAAAATGCATGCAATAACGTAGTGCCGCAGTAAATTTGCAATAAATATTATACTGGGTTCATTAATTTTAATGCACATTATTTCGCCCACTATTAAAGCCAGATAGGATTTACGTTCTACCACAGAATATTTCGGATTAATCCAACAGACAAATGGGGCGTTATTAATATTCAATAATTAATTCTGTCCGAACGAATCTACGGGATGGAAGAGATAATGGTTATTACTATAATAATCATAATATAGACGACTATGTATTTAGTGGTCAATTTCCAGTTGATTTGGTATTGAATCTAGAATCTATTGCGGAAAGCAGTTGCATTAACGGTATCAAAATAGATTATGATGACTTTTTTTATGGAGTGGTATAATTTTCGCTGTCCTTTTTATATTTAATAGGGCAACAGAATTAATACCATGTGAATATAAAAACAATAGAAAAGAATTTATCATTAAAAGAATTTGTAGATATGAAAAATACTAGAAGCGCCCGCGGTTTCACCTGCGTTAAATTTCAGTAAAAAATATAGCCTATATGTTATCCTGATGCATAAGCTACCTATATGTTACATTTACTGTAAAGTTTCATCAAAATCCGTTCAGTAGTTTTTGCATGAAAGAGTTACAAACATCCATACTCACAAACGTTTATATTCTAATTAAAATTATGATGTTATATCTCAGTGGTATCTTTTTGTAATTTTTATATATTAATATACCTTACCAATAAAAAAGCATACATAGACTAAAATTAAAAAAAAAATACGAAAGCAATAGATATTGCTTTCGTATTTTTACACAGGTCGAAGTTGGATTTTGTAAATATACCTAATGGGACAATAACTGAAACTGAACAGTGCAATTGAGTTCTAGCGGTTTACCATACCGTCTTACTTTCGATGGTCGCAGGTTTGATTCTCGCGCGATCCTAATATTATTGTATTGGTCTGGGTGCTCTGTGTATGTATATTATTAATGTACTTACAAAATATATATAGATTTCAGTATTTCTATCAGGTTTTAGCTACCTATAGGTCAAACTCTGTTTAAATTAGGACTAGACGCTATGTGAATTGTCTTGGTTCATTAAAATTGTTACCAAGAGTTCTACCCGTGTACCAATACTGTTCATGACAACAATTTATATTTACCATTTAGACAAGCTATAAATGGGATATAATAAATGAAGCTTTTAAAATTGAAGATAGTGATTTTAAGAACTCAGTTCTCTCTGCTTATCACTTAAGCGTTTCGGAATGACCACAGATAAAAGGGTAGAAGAAATCGTGATAAACTTATGAACAATTAATATTAAAATAATCATAATAACAACGCTATAAGCGTCTTCTAGTGCCAAGCTAAGTAGAACTTATGTTATGAGTACTAGACAACTGATACAGATACTTAAATACATTTTTTTGTAAATACATTCATCATATACATAGAAAACACCCAGAAATATACAAACACTTATATACGTATAATTAGTAAAAGTCACGGGATTTTTATACTTTTTTTTTTATTTATCGGAAACTTAATAAATATAAGACTTGGTAAGATCCCGTGATGTTTACTAATTATATGTATAAATAATGACCACTTCAAAATAAAAACAGTACAGTTACGAATACAAATACATATTTGCATACGAGGAATTGAACCCGTAACCATCGGAATTAAAGTGGTGTGCTAAATCTATAGCCGTCTTAATAAATTATAATTCGTCGATATATCATAGAGTAATCAACATATCCAACAGATAACACCTACTCATAAGTCAAGTACATAGAGTATAACTATGTATTAAGTAAATTACTAAATTATAAAATTACGTTACTAAATTAAAGGTAATATGTATAAACCAGTACCTATTCTTTAAAAACACAATAAATTGAATAAGGTTTTTTTTGTAATTACTAATTCATGCAATGACCAAAATAATAGAACAAAGGTTAAGATTATCTAATAGTGAAATTACAGGTACATTACTCATAACTAATGTGACCAGTTATTTTTACTCAAAATGGGATATTGATTTAACTATCTCGATTACTAGGTCCTTTAAGAAAAATTAATTTTGAGAATACTAGCCTAGATTTTCAATGAAAATAAACCCCATTATTTATTTTTACATATATAAATAAACCAAGACAGGTTACACAATTTTTATAATACAAAAATCAATGGACCAAATTTTTTGACATATAATAACTATCTATAATAATAGATAACTATTAAAACACCAGTGAAATTATTGGAGGAATAATATGTTATTAGATAATTTTTTCATGCATTGTTCATCGAGCCAGTTTCGCCACTTGTTCGCGGTTTCAGAAAATAAGACATTTTACGTCGATAAATTCTTTTCAGGAACACCGGAACGACAATCAAAAAATGGACGGTCCCGTTCAACACTGGATGTATGGTCACATTATTCATACATAGCATAGCAAATAGTTCATTCATTTTTTCTCACCTAGGTGGCGGTGGCGGCGGATCTCTCGCTCTCCTCGGCAATAAACGAGGACTGCTCGGAGTACTTGCAGAATGGCTCGCCCCGGCATGATCCGTGAACCTCGACAGTGGGTCGAAGATCTGCGACAACCGCCGCGACCTTTCCTCCGACATAGTCACTTAAAACTACACAACACAAACAACACTAAACAAAAACAACAATATCACATCACATCACGACGCAGCAGTGTCACAGTTAAATCACAAATGACTATTTCGAACGGTCCGGATGATTCAAACAGCGGAAGTTATGACGGCCCGCCGGGAGGTGGCGCCAGCATCGGTGACGCAGGTTTTGGCGCGAAAACGTCGACGCCATCTTGTTTCTCTTGACGTTTTTCACGGTTTAATGAGGTCTTGCGCGGCCGCCGTTGTATTTAGAGCGCTGAAAAAGAAATACATGTGATTAGTTTATGTCATAGTAGTGCTGAAGTGTGGGATTAGGTAAGGTGAAGTAATTAGACGTTGGGTTCCGGCATCAATTTTGGACTGGTGTCAAAATATTGTGAACCAGATAGAACTGGAACTATATATGTACTGTGTCGATTTTTCTGCTCTCATTCATAGTAAAAAGATAACACCAATATCAAATGTAAAGTAAATTACAGGTGCTCACGATGACCTGGACGTATAATAATCAGATAGTCCTGCATTGTTGGTTGATGGCCGTTAAAATTTCATAACCAACACAAGAAAAGAGATCTATGATACTCTACTCTACGTAAGAGAGGTAAAGGTCGTCACGGGTGAATCGTCGAAAAGTAGAAGTTTTTATATTATTTATATTGGTTACTTCCTTTTACAAAATCGTCTGCATAGGTAGTCTCCTCGTCTCCCTCTTCTGTCTGACCAATTTCAGCAGCCAAGTACGTTGCTTTCTTATTTCGGTTAAAGTGCCCACCCCCTCACTGCTTTATCTCAATAAGGCAGGGAAAGGGTGAGCATGATAATGAGGCATGCAAATAAGGAGTCATGACACCTTAGTCCTCCGCAATGGCTACACAGTATCAGTAGCATCGTGACGAGATGCTATCTGGGGTGCTGTTGTGGTCCTGTTTAAATATAGGCGACGGTTACCACTTACTATCAGTCTTAGCTCTTAGCTTACTATCAGCTTATTTACCTTGGAAATGCCCTTTTTTCTATTACAAGCTCTACTGATATAAAATTAGAGGCAAAAACAAATAAAAGTGATTCCTACTTTACGAGAATTAATTATTTCTGCATATTATAAAACGAAGCCCTGTCTTTGTGTTTCATAATTCGTAATAATCACAAAAAGTACTGAACAGATTTTCCTGCGGAGGTGATATTTGCGTAAAGATCATGGACTAACTACTAACACGACTATTTCAAACAGATATAAAATAAAACCAGTAACAATAAAACGAGCCCTAAATCTGTGTCGTTAGTTTTAATATCGCGCTACAAACGATAAAACTATTTCTGAGTGTCTGTTCACGACACTTGGCTACGGAAAATATTACGTTGATGTATTCTTTTCAGTGAAGTCTCCTGTTATATATATTCATACTGTAACATTTTGCTGGACAAATACACCTGACTACTGAATGTGACAAAATTTATATGTGACTAAGATGTATTATTAATAATAAGCGTGAACAATTCACACAGCGCCGTCTAGTCCATTAGTTCGTACATAGATATATATTTTTTTGTAAATACATATATAATATAATATACATAGAAAACACCCAGACTAATACAAACAACTAAACTCATGAATTCATGTGTTTAATTGTTCGTAGTTCAAAAATATTTGTGACGTACGAGGATTCAAACCGCCGCTAGACCAACGAGGCCGTCAAAAATCTATCATACATCTGACTATCAAATATATATTATTAATAATAATAACCCCGAATAATTAGGTGGGTAAACATATTAAAATAGAGATAATTATGTATATATTATAACTATTATAGAACTGTATATATATTACAACTACCTGACTTGACAGACATCCTGTCTTTACAATGAATACTGAATTTGTATTGCTATAATTATTAACCTTTCTAATGTTGCGCGCAGCTTTATTTTTTTTTTTTCATTTATAAGAACCTTCTCCAGAATAGACGCAAAAAAAAAAGAATTAGAAAAATCGGCCCAGCCGTTCATGTGTGATGCCATAAGGGAAATAGAAATTCATTTTTATATATAAATAAATAAATCAGTGTTTCTAAGCTCTATACATGATAATATCAATAATTATTACAGAAACTTCTAGAATCATTCTACGTACCCAGTGCAAGTTGATATATGCATCCGACGAAATGATTGACTAGCAAATTACGAGACACAAGAATATGTCAACTATATTTCATGTTTTACACACACACTAATATTGTTTATTTTCATCGTATATCCACTCAATATGATTAATAACCGACGATAATATTATGTATACTGAAAAACGACACATTCGTAATGTGAGTTTCTTAGGAAATGACACGGTGAGGCGGTTGTTTCGACAAATAAAAGCATAAGAGGGCTACCAGCTCTTTGATATTCAAAATTAGTTCGTCTCACCTTAACGGTGGCGAACTGGACAGTGGTACAAAAACTATTAGTAATCCAATAGATTAATATATTATTTACTAGCTGTACCCGCGACTTCGTCCGCGTAAATAATGAAAAAATATTTAACTCAATTAACACAATATAAGTCAAATAAATAAGTTTCATCGTTTTAGCTTAAAAAATGATAAAAAGTAAAAATAAATATTTAATCAATAGACTAAAAAATAAATTTCAAGCTTCTAGCTTTAAACATGACGATACATCTATATAACCTTGGATCTACCCTTTCAATCCTCTTGCAACCCTTTTTCACATTAAAAAGTAACCTATGTCCTTTCTCAGGATCTAGTCTATCTATGTCTGTTTCAAATTTCAATTTAAATCGGTTCAGTATTTTTGGCGTGTAAGCGAGACAAACAGACAAAGTTACTTTCACATTTATAATATCAGAAAGGTATTTAATAAACTAACCCTAAAAAGACAAAGAAAAAAGTTTAATCGTTCTAGCTTCCACAACCACACAAACAGCAAATTTCCACAATAACTTTCATTCCCTATTTTATTTTACTACCCCCCCCCCCCCTCCCCCTAAGAGTAAAAATTTTACAAACATTGAATGTCATATTTATTGATATTTAAACAACAGCCTAAAAATGAGTCTCAAACTTCTAGTTTTAAAAAATGACGATTCTTCCATACAGCGTACCATTGCAACCCCCTTACAATCCTTTTTTCACATTCAAAAGTACCCTATATTCTTTGTCCGGGTGTAAACTAACTGTGTACCAAATTTCATTTAAATTTTTATTTTGTTTTGGAGCGTAAGACTGACAGAAAGACAAACAGAGTTACTTTCACAGTTATAACATTAGTGGGGTATTTAAAAATCTACCCCAAAAGAACCAATGAAAATAGTTTCATTGTTCTAGTTTCAAACATTACGAATTTACATAATAACTATCATCCCCTATTTTATTTTACCCCCTTAAGGGTAATTTTTTTACAAACAATGAATGTCATATGTATTTATATTTAATCAACAGTCTCAACAATAAGATTCAAGCTTCTAGCTTCAAAATGACGTGTTTACATAAAAACTTGCATCCCCTATTTTATTTTACCCCCTTAAGGGTATTTTTTTTAAAAACAATGAATGTCATATGTATTTATATTTAATCAACAGTCTCAACAATAAGATTCAAGCTTCTAGCTTCAAAAATGACGTGTTTACATAAAAACTTGCATCCCCTATTTTATTTTACCCCCTTAAGGGTATTTTTTTTAAAAACAATGAATGTCATATGTATTTATATTTAATCAACAGTCTCAACAATAAGATTCAAGCTTCTAGCTTCAAAATGACGTGTTTACATAAAAACTTGCATCCCCTATTTTATTTTACCCCCTTAAGGGTATTTTTTTTAAAAACAATGAATGTCATATGTATTTATATTTAATCAACAGTCTCAACAATAAGATTCAAGCTTCTAGCTTCAAAAATGACGTGTTTACATAAAAACTTGCATCCCCTATTTTATTTTACCCCCTTAAGGGTATTTTTTTTTAAAACAATGAATGTCATATGTATTTATATTTAATCAACAGTCTCAACAATAAGATTCAAGCTTCTAGCTTCAAAATGACGTGTTTACATAAAAACTTGCATCCCCTATTTTATTTTACCCCCTTAAGGGTATTTTTTTTAAAAACAATGAATGTCATATGTATTTATATTTAATCAACAGTCTCAACAATAAGATTCAAGCTTCTAGCTTCAAAATGACGTGTTTACATAAAAACTTGCATCCCCTATTTTATTTTACCCCCTTAAGGGTATTTTTTTTAAAAACAATGAATGTCATATGTATTTATATTTAATCAACGGTCTCAACAATAAGATTCAAGCTTCTAGCTTCAAAATGACGTGTTTACATAAAAACTTGCATCCCCTATTTTATTTTACCCCCTTAAGGGTATTTTTTTTAAAAACAATGAATGTCATATGTATTTATATTTAATCAACAGTCTCAACAATAAGATTCAAGCTTCTAGCTTCAAAATGACGTGTTTACATAAAAACTTGCATCCCCTATTTTATTTTACCCCCTTAAGGGTATTTTTTTTAAAAACAATGAATGTCATATGTATTTATATTTAATCAACAGTCTCAACAATAAGATTCAAGCTTCTAGCTTCAAAAATGACGTGTTTACATAAAAACTTGCATCCCCTATTTTATTTTACCCCCTTAAGGGTATTTTTTTTTTAAAAACAATGAATGTCATATGTATTTATATTTAATCAACAGTCTCAACAATAAGATTCAAGCTTCTAGCTTCAAAATGACGTGTTTACATAAAAACTTGCATCCCCTATTTTATTTTACCCCCTTAAGGGTATTTTTTTTAAAAACAATGAATGTCATATGTATTTATATTTAATCAACAGTCTCAACAATAAGATTCAAGCTTCTAGCTTCAAAATGACGTGTTTACATAAAAACTTGCATACCCTATTTTATTTTACCCCCTTAAGGGTATTTTTTTTAAAAACAATGAATGTCATATGTATTTATATTTAATCAACAGTCTCAACAATAAGATTCAAGCTTCTAGCTTCAAAAATGACGTGTTTACATAAAAACTTGCATCCCCTATTTTATTTTACCCCCTTAAGGGTAAT